AACATTTATTTTGAGACAGAGAGACCAGAAACATGAACGGGAGAGGGTCAGAGAGAGGGAGACACAGAACTGGCAGGCTCAGGCTCTGAGCTGTCAGCCCCGAGCCCAACGTGGGGCTCAAACTCCTGAACAGACCGCGAGATCATGACCTGAGCCGAAGTTAGACGGCAACCGGCCAAACCGACTGAGCCACCAGGCTCTATCAGCTTGTATTTTTTTAATGGAAAATTCTAGAACCTAGAGAACTTTTAAATTACTGTATGTTTATTTTATGTGAGTTCAACTTACTAAGCTTTGTTCAATTCTTGAATTTTTCAATTAAATAATAGACCTGAAGCCTGTCTACCAAAGAGGCAATTTTGAAGATTCTATCAGCACTTTCTTTTTTTTTTTTTTTTTTTATTTTTTTAAATTTTTTTTTCAACGTTGTTATTTATTTTTGGGACAGAGAGACAGAGCATGAACTGGGGAGGGGCAGAGAGAGGAGACAGAGAATCAGAAACAGACTCCAGCTCTGAGCCATCAGCCCAGAGCCTGACGGGGCTCGAACTCACCAGTTTAACGCGAGATCGTGACCTGGCTGAAGTCGGACGCTTAACCCATCATTTCGCCACCCAGGCTCTTCACTATCAGCACTTTCTTAAAGAGTTATTATTAGATAGAAAAAAAATATTTTCACGTTAGACACTGTTTAAAAGTACACATGTATTTTTAAGCCTAATGGTTCTTTAAAAATTTTTTTAAACATGTATTTATTTTGAGACAGAGAAAAGACAGAGCACGAGAGAGGAGGCAGAGGGAGACAGAGACACAGAATCCCTGAAGCAGGCTCAGGCTCTGAACTGTCAGCAGAGCTATTGGTGAGCTCGGACGCTGCCAAATCATGAACTGTGAACAGAGATTATGAAGCCTGAGCTGGAAGTCAGATACTTAGCTATTGAAGCCACCAGGTGCCCCAAGCCTAATGTTTTGTTTTTTTTTTAATTTTTTTTTTTAACTAGTTTATTTATTTTTAGAGACAGAGAGACAGAGCATGAACGGGAGGGGTCAGAGAGAGGAGACACAGAATCTAAAACAGGCTCCAGGCTCTGAGCAATCAACACAGAGCCCAGTGAGCCGCCTCGAACTCACATACCATGATTGTGACCTAAGTCGGAAACGA